CGACGCAATAACCCAGAGGACAGCCATTTTCGCACTCGCCGCCGTGAAAACTTGTAATTCTAATAATCATTTGTATTCCATACGAATATTTTTTTGGATTATGGCCAAAGCCATGGTCAGGTTGGCAGGCCTGCATTGTGAGATGGCGCAGGTCCGTACAGGCGGACGACAGGCTGCAGTCGATCTGTTTCCATCATAGGCCTACTCATTGTATGTAATGTATATCAGCGTATTGTAGATTAGAAGAAACTGATGACAAATCTTTGTTATATAAAACAAATATATTACAAAAAAAAATAGGAAATTACATTGTGTTGCTATTGAGCTATACTATAGTGAGTTTCTTTCTTGAAGGTATTTATTAAAAGAAAGGAAAGGCCAATGACTATATTTACCTCAAAACATTGAAACAATTCCTTAGCGCAATATTCGGTGTTCGTACATAAGCATACAAGAGTTCTGGATGAGTTCCACTGGTATTTTTTCAGATGAAAAGGGGCACTAATGTGGGTATTATTTGCCAATATGGGCTTGCACGATGTGGTTCCCAACTTTAAAACAAAATTAACAATTGTACTGTATTTACCTGAATGAATATGTACCCCAATTCTAAAAAAAAAACTTATAACTGCAGGACTTTTAAAACATTATGTTTATACAATTTTCATTGAATAGTTTCTAATACAATAAGCAAATCCTTCTTAACTGAAGCTATATTTAGCATTTCAGTAAATATTGCACTATTCGATATTTTGCATATACATATCTTAAAATACTAAACGATTTAACTTTTAACTTTTTGTGGAAGATGCCGGTAAATATATAACAGAATAACGGGGGGTGGCATAATACGCAGTTGATTCCTTCGGGACATATTTTGGTTGGAAAAAGTTTGCATTATATGTGGGCAAATACGTGTCTCACGGGGTCATACGCCGATCCTACTCGTCGCGTCGCTCAGATTTCTAGAATGTGTCTTTTAAATAAAAGCAAAGCATTTTAATATAAACATCGTAATGTTAACTGCGTTATCTGTTAAACAGATTTCACACAGAATAAAAAACAATGTGTCTTTGCATTGGTCAGGGAATTGGAAACATTCGCCATCCCTGCGCGTGGGAATTTCGAAGTGTAGATGACGTCACAGGGATGTATTCGGTAGCCTACAAAAAGACGCTCGGTGGGGTTTAACAAATAGTTCTTCAATAATTAAATCGGT